GTTTCTATGGGTGTGGAAGATTCATAAAGCAGACAAAAAATTAAGAAAATGTACCTCTTAACCACTCGATAAATAGGGGAGGTGAGATGAATATTGCACGCTCCCAGGTAGTCAATGCTCCAAGGAAAGCCGAATTTTCCCAAGTTTTCGGCTCGTGGGAGACGGGAAGGTCTGGGTTGAGGGCACTAGCGGTCGACGTGTTAACCGAAGGCGAAGGACGACCGTACATTCATACTGTCCAATCCTGTCCATTATCGATGCTTCCCAGCAAATGTTTAGCCGAAAAAATAGATTTGGGGGAGGGGGGAAGTTCACTAAAACTCGGATAACCACTCGAACAGTGTAACGTGTTGCTAGAACTACGTACCGTTTAAATTATCCATCCAAATGTTTCGAAATTTCTTGAATTTTCCGAACGAAGTAGGGTTCAGACGCAAGAATTAGAGCCACGGTCGGTGCAATCGGAGAGTGTTGTCACCCTTTGTGAGCTAACTACCCAGGAAAGATGCGGACTCTTCAGTGTATCACTACTAAGCTGGTACCTGAAGCGCTGGGTGGAGCCGACATAAACTTTACAGATGAATCACCCCGATCGGACGGAATATGGTGGACCATTTTAGGCATCTCATGCAGTTTGCCTGGAATCCTCGCGATCTAGGTTCAACTTACTTGCATGTCTAAAAATCATCAGGCAGTGCGACCGTAAAACAGCCCTCTAGCCATATGATCAGCAACCAAGCTCATATTCTGTCATTGCAAAAGTAATCTTGACTGTCTCTGGATCGATCTCATTAGTAGTTAGACAGTTAATTAGATAGTCAAATCTGTCTGTTGCCACAAGGCCACTGAACGCTACGAAAACTTACTTTTTCTATCCGGTACATGCTAATTCATTTCTGAGTATCCTTTTCAACAGCAGAGCGAACCGACGTGCCTAATAACCCAGCTTAAAGCCAGAACTTATGACAATGGTGATGTGGACGAGTACGGCAATCTCAATTACTAACAAACGCATTAGTTCCGAAAGTAAACTGACAGGTCACGTGAAACGGAACAGTAAAATGACAAAGCCGGAGTCGGGCTTCTTGTAAGGCTCAAGCAGTGTTGTACGGGGCAGCATCCGGTCAAACAATATGTGCGTTTATTTTTTCATTACTTATTCACGATGATCACAAAAGAGCCAAAGCCGTAAGTCTGTGGGACAAAAAGTACGTGTATGTCTTGAGGATCACAGAACTTCACTGAAGAAGAGTAATAGTAGAAGTGATAGGAGTGATACATGTCGATGTTAGTGAAGGGAAGCAGCGAACCAGCGTTTAGTGGAAAACGGAGAAGCGGGAAGTATTTTGCTTGAATGAAAGGAAACAACAAAAATATACAAGGCCACGTTGCATAGGTGGTCAAAAATATCCGGTTCCGTGGAAAAAAGCCGAATCCAGGATGTGTATGGGATTGAAAGCGAGACGGCGGATAAACGCCAGGGAAAAAGAAAGAAGAGAGTTGTCAGCAGTATTTGCTGGAGATAGAAAGATGAAGCAAACCAAAAAATAGGTTTGCGAGGTCTGATGGTAAATAAAGCGCACACGACCGCTACTGGCAGGCAAGGGCCAGATGGAAGCAAAAAGCTATTCTTGACCGAATCCTCTTGTTTCCTCGATCGCCAATTGCAACTTTTCCTTTAACTGTTCAAAAGATGTGTACGGTGGCAAGTCTAATCGATTGAAGCAGGTGTGACTCCGTGGTAGCCATGTCTCATCACCGGTGCGTTCGATGCAAAACAGCTGATGCCCGCTGCTTCCTGAAACGGATCGAAAAATTGTGATCACAAAGCATCACATTAGTTAGTGGATCGAACGAATGGTCAGTGAGAAGTAAAGTTCAAAAAGTAGTATTTTACTGGTAAATCATAAACTATGAGGATCCACTATTTAAAAAGCCTGCAAGTTATCACTCATGAATACGCAAAGAGAACGAGGTAACTGACGCGAACGAAATAGTTATAAGGCGACTGTAACTCGTCCGGTTTTATATCCCCTAACGACAAAATGCACTGGAACTTTTATACTTGTTCAGTTGGCAAGACATTCTCACGTTGGTTCAGACGGCACGTATAGAGTAAGGTGAAAAGCATTCGGCGAGAGGCACAAGTGCACTCGATTTCGGAAGTGCTCTGACCATCCAGTTATAGATGGGGAATTGCCGTTAGACCACGAAGACCCGGCTGGGTTGTGCCACGGTTGCAGAACAACAGTCAGTAAGCAAAATATGTGAGAGATGAAACCACATGAACACGTGCACAAGATCACATGCATCACAAGGACAGGGTTCCACAAATAGTTACGTTAATACCCTTCTAACAGTTCTTATGATGGTGCGATTTTAGTGAAACCCGATCAGTTAAGGGGAACTTTGATATACAGGTACTGTTCCAGGTGATTCAAGCCACATAACCAGGATCGCTGTTTTAAAGAAGACAAACAATGGCATGAGTGGAAGCCGAGTAGATATATCATGCAAAGTAGCGGGTTAGGGAGACCGGTTGCCATAGGTTGAGCGAACAGCCACAGAAGTCGCAAACTCACTAGGGATCAGCTGAACTCAGTGATCCCACATTGATAACGACTACACAGGATTTCATCCTGCAAGTGAAGTCGGGCTATGCTGGAAACTACCAGCAGCGCGCATCTCATGAATCATTAGGGAGATTCGAATCCGGAGGTCATACAATTTGGTCACAAGTGGCTCAGTAACGGTTTATTGTCCTAAAATACAGTACTACCTTAACCAGGTTGCACTAAGCAACTTGCTGGCGATTTAACAGATATCGGTTAGAGACCATAAGATCGGAAGCAAAAAACTATACCAAACGCGGTTTGTATTCGCACTGTGCATATTCTCTCAATAGAGTCATGAACGCAGGATTTTTCCTCTATTTTGTGGGTTGATCACAATGCTTTAGAGTAAGCAAAATCTGTTTAAGCAAGCAATGACGTACCGACAAGTTGAGCAAACCCGCCGAGTGGTAAGTGACACGTGCCAGTAACAAATTGCAACAACCGCGCGCGTTTTTCATTATCAAGGCCCTGAACAAACTAGAGCAGGGTGACAGGTAGAACGAAATGGGTAAAATATTATGGGTCGATTGAAATGAAATGTTGCTAAAATTTACATAGGATTTGCCATGGAGTAGCAATTACAACGACGAGGGAAGTATTGGTGCATCAGTCTGAAAAGCTCGTACAAGTTCAGGAGTTATTGCCTTAACAATAACACGGCTGACGCGCAAGAAACGGGGATCACAATTGGGATACACATAACGGGAGCGATACCAAGTTTTCAGTCTTTGGTTACACGTGCTATAATACAGATACACTGAGAAGGTAGTTCACCGAACATATGCTTGGTAAGGCTCTGACGCATATCAGCAGTTTTCCGGTCACACGGACGCGAGTGTTTGAATACTAGGTAGAAAGTGGCCTGATGAGCGTAGTGCAGTTAACCAACGAATTCATTCAATTTACGGGGCACCAGAGATGAATCGTGCCGCAACTTATAGTGGACGCGGGACCGACCTCGTTATTAGTTTTACGTGCCCAGGATAGCCACTTTTGGCAAAACCGGAGTATAGAAAGCTGAGAAACTATAAAAACGAAATCCCATAATCACCTCGAGGTGGATTGAAAATATCGAGAGGAACAGGTGGAACAGGGGTGAAGAGTGGTTGAGAGACAACACCGACAGAATGACAATACTCCTAAGCCCACAAAGACGAATCTCATCAGTAGACTCTTCAATGATGAACGTTGTCTGATACAACCATCTACGTCTGATACGTCACTTATTGGACCTGTAAATACGAAAAAAGTTCACGAGAGAAAGAAGACTTAATGCCCTTGAATACACGCAAGATATCGGGTGCGGTGATGGTAAACTCGAATAAAGACGGAATTCGTGACTGGAATGTCTGTAATCCCGGTAAAATAAATGGACTGCATTAAGGAAAATCAAATACTTGTACAGTCATACCATAACACCACTATTACATCGCTTCAGCATGTGAATGAACCTCGTTCACTGACCACATTTGATCAAGTAAAAACAGTGAAATATGAATCTGACCTCTCACATCGAGATCTGCCAAGAGCTTAGAGTCGGTAGGTATGGACTCTTTTTGTGGGATTTCGTCCTGTAAGTGAAGCCAATCTATGCTGAAAAGCCGAGAAGCACTGTACAGTTGTTTCATCCTTATTGAGAATCATCAGCAGTGCGCATCTCACGAAACTCCGAAGAGTCTCGAACCCGCGACCTCCAGGCTAGTAGTTTGAACACTTGACCGTTCGGCCACGAGTGGCTGATCAGCAGTGTGATTAACTCGCACTTAGACAGGATATAGCGCCGCTCATCCTTCAATCACGGGATCCACATCACGCGGTCACACGTGTTGACTGGCTCCTCGAGCAACGACTTCTCAGATAGAAGTTTAACTCATCGGGTGAAGTTTATTCTTCCACCGAGCTACCTATATATTGTGGGTAGTGTGAGGAAATTTGGGATATTTTGTGTGGGATTTCGTCCTGTAAGTAAAGCCAATCTATGCTGAAAAGCCGAGAAGCACTGCACAGCTGTTTCATCCTTATTGGGAATCATCAGCAGTGCGCATCTCACGAAACTCCGAAGAGTCTCGAACCCGCGACCTCCCAGCTAGTAGCTTGAACACTTGACCGTTCGGCCAAAAGAGGCTGATCAGCAGTGTGATTAACTCGCACTTACACAGGATATAGCGCCGCTCATCCTTCAATCACAGGATCCACATCACGCGGTCACACGTGTTGACTGGCTCCTCGAGCAACGATTTCTCATAGGTCTAAAATCCAGAGATTCTATCAGACGCACATAACCCAAAAAATTATATTCTGAAACAAGATTTGAACGCCGAGTTGCTGATACACACGAAGCAGATTAATTGGAGCACGAAGGGAACTGGTTGAAACCAGACTCACTTTCCAGAACCAGACAATCTGTTTGCTTGATCGGGTATACTTCAGGTAGACAGTATTCTTCTCCCAATCGGCCACATCAATCTCCGGCATTCCAGATAACAAGAGCTGAGACAGGTGAACAAAAAAAGGCTAACAGGATGCTGACAAGGAAACAACTAGTGACAGAATTTCGGCAGAAACAGACAGAAAGGGTTCTCAATAAGGTATGCACAATAAGGGGATCGGAATAAAATCGATGGCTCTTGGCCACAGATATCTGTTATTCAGCTGGTGTTCCGGTGCAGTTCTTACGGTAAAAAATAACGCTTTTCAAGAGTAGTGGAAATGTCATAACACTAAAATGCATTCGGTGCCATTGGTATTGCCAACTGTAATCCGGCCTTCCATTTCTTCTGAATGACGGGGCATTTTGGGATGGAGAAACGTAAAATTATTGGTGGCAAGGAAGTGATTGTAGGGGAGATTAATCAGAAGAAACATCGGACGTTGACGACGCTAATTCGGAACGTCCACGCACAAATACGATTTTCTGCGTGCCATTGGTGGACGCATTTATCACATAGGTGGATCTACAGTTCGAACTGGAGCCTAGGCAACTGTCGAATAACGTGTTTGATGAGAACGATCTCACTGCCGTACTGTTTTGCACTTCCATAGATTGCCCAGTAGAATCAGATTACCCGATGGTGAACGACTAATTTTCAATGTCGTAACAATCTGTGACCAAACAGTGACAAACAGTGACCAACTATGACAAAATCAACACCACTTTTGCCTTTTCAGTAAGGTTCTAACGCCACATTGCTAGAATAAGGTTTGAGAAGGGGATAAGAAGAATTATGTCATTTCTCTGAGTGTGACCAGTTGTACAATCTTGACCACAAACCTAGCTATTTAAGTCTACATCGCATTGGAGGATGTTTGATATTGCGTTACAGGAAATGGAACAAGTGTACGGAAAAAATTTGGTCAATTCATTGTTTACCGACATGATATGAAGGTTTTAGCCGCAAAGCTCAGCTGCGCTGGTGACTATCGTCTTGGGATCCGAGGAGAAGAAACATAAATAAATCAAGAAACTGAGAGACATGACATAAGCACACAGGTGATGGAACTTAATCATCAATGACGAACCTAGATTGCACCAGAAACTACACACTGACATTACCAGAGATTTTAGTTCGCTGAGAATTGATTAGATCACGCCACCAAGGCGTGACTGTTTGAGGCCCATTTTCCCTATCACCGAAAATAATTTTTTCCAGCTAGCACCAGCTTACCATCAGTTTATGGCTCAGGTATAAAAGGAGGAGCTATTGTCATCACACCCTTGAATAGCAAAGCAATGGGGGCTACGGCAATGGCACATGAAAATCTTGTTTGAAATCAAGTCTGAACAGGAGGAACACAGTCACCTACTTCTAGTTCACGCTCATCGAATAGTTGAAGCCATTGTGGTTCCAGTACTTCATGAATGCCTTTGTGTACTGCCTCAGTTTGCTTGCTGATTCCACGAGAAAAACGCCAATCGACCATTAGGCTGGAGCGGAGTGACATGAAGAGTTAGCAGGTAGTGGTAGGAATTTCTAGACAAGAACAAGGTACTCATACTAGCATGCAAAACACTTCTGCCTGAGAACGAACCTTATGTATTCTACAATGGACGTGGAACAATCCAGAAGTACAATGTCAGTGTGTAATGCAAGTCAATAGCAGTGAGTATTATTGCACTCTGAGAAAAAACCGGACATATGCTTGGGACAGCTGGATATACGGTTTGGCGCGGGAGGCGAACAACATTAAACCAAAACAGCTGATGGGACTTGATAAGGAATTTTATGCAAAAAGTCCGGATGTGAGGAGGCAACTGTGAACCGTTTTGTGACACCTGATACACGATTCGACATTTTATATCTGTATGCCCTTTTGTTGACTAGGTCATGCATGTAAGAGGATTTATGCCAATCATAAAACACCTAGACGCTATGCGTTTTGGTAAGCCGATACGGTGCATTCTAGAACAAAGGCCACATCGCAGTTCATAAAAGGAGGTGTTTTCTAGAAAACCTCTCCTTAAGAGACTGATGAATTTCTGGTTCTGTGGCTATTCTCTCAAAAAGAAACTCGAAACTGAAATGTTCTCGGAGCTTAGTTGTGACGAAGTATTTCTTCACCAACCTGAAGCGTCTGTCTTCGGTTTTCCTCAGCGTAGATCTAAATTATGTGCTAAGCCATGTCTTCGTGTACATTGCCACAGAGATGATTGCGACTTAGCCCCAAAGTCTGCCAAAGAGCTTGAATGCTTCAAAGCCAAACAAATCTGGTTTCGCTGCCAATAACGAAGGTAACGAATAAATCATTATAAAGTGATCCACCGTACGTAGCTTGATGGAAAAAAAGAGTAAGGAGCAACCCGAAGCAGACCAGATAAACTGAAGGCAAATCTTTTAATGGACATGCTCAACGTACAATTCTGTTTCAATGGCAGATAATATCGCCAAAAAGAGGGAATGGTCATAGGATCATCATCAAGTCCAATAGCCGCAGAAATGTGAACGTTTGGGCTGCTAACTGTCAAACGGTCGTACGAGCTGATGAAAGATGTATCAGAATTCGTCGAGTATCATAACGATATTGACAGCAGTCGTAAGTCGTATGGCCCTTGAGTGTTTAAAAGGACTACCCAAAGGTCGAACCTGAAAGGTAGGGGTCGTCTGCACCTATAAAACAGGGAATACGTCGTTATTCGAAATATTATTTCCGACTGGGCATTACGTAGTGCAGAACGGGGCCATGTTAGCCAGAATCTCGCATATTTTATTGCCATCATCCCCGCATCCCCAGACTTTGCACAAAGAGCACAGAGGTCCAATTCTTCTAACTGGTCGGATGACCTTTGGTCAAGCGAATGAGCAAACCCCTTTAATCTTCACGTGTAGTTTACTGCTACCGGTTTGGATGTATTATGTTCAATCTCGTATACGGTCTGTCCGGGTCAGAAAATGGACAACTGAAAACACGTGTTTACTTAGCATTTCGTTATCGAATGTCAGTGTGTGAATCTGTTAGCAAGAGTATCCCAGACCCTTTATCATACGTCAGGGTATCGTAGTGTCCACTACAGACAAAACGAATCTCGCTGGGGATCTGTTCTAAGACAAGTGATAAGTCCCGTAGTACACTCATTTGCAAACTAATTTCCTGTTAACGGGAAACTAAGTCCCAGATGAATTTCTCATTTACGATATTACTCAGCTGAATGTGCCGCACAAAAGCCGACTCCGACACACTACTCATAAGATAGTTGAAAACTCTTCGAAAGCCTTCGACGGGTTTCGCCCTCCTTAGGGTTCATTAGGTGAAAGCAGTCCCTGAGTTCCCGTGAACTTTGTTATATTTGAACCCATCATCATCATAGACAGTATAACATCACTGTTCAACACCGATGATTCATTGCCGAACCCAGACTGTACACAGATCGCGAAATACACTCATTTGCAAACTTATTTGGTGCTAACGGAGGAGTGGAGTGAATTCCACCTAAAGCCCTCGCTTGTGATACTCTACTTCTGTTGGTCCCATGAAGCGTGCCCCGAGAGCAAATGCCCTCTTGAAACAGTCCACTTTTAGTCGGTCTCTTCAAGGGTGAAGGTTTTAATTTATTAAGGCGTCATACAACTGACGAATTTCGCCTAGTAGTAGCTGAGATGGTGAGGATAACATCAAGAGCATTAACTAGGGCAACGGGCGTACGGTCAAGAATGGCAAAGTTCCTCATTTATCCGGGAAATTCGGTGGTTACCAAGATTGATGCAGAATTTGGAGTACGCGAACCGCTGTTGTTCATTAGTTAGGCTACCTCCATTACGTAGAGTATGGACGGTATGGTACACAGTGATCGGTACAATTCACCATTCAATGTGACAGCTTGACGTCGACAGAGTAATCGGAAAACATATGGTCGAAAACACGTACACAGGTGCACAGACGAGTACAAAGAGAACAAAGCTGACCTGATGTATTCCATCTTGTTGGCCTCGGTTACTTTGATATTCTTGCCACCTTCGATAAGTTCATCCTCATGTAGAGCACCTAAAAGGTCGTAGCTTGCAACGAAGTACAGCTCCAAATCGCATTTGTCAATGTTGTTGTCTCTTGATTAAAATCATAAAACAAGTTGAAGTGTAAGCTTGGAATAGGGCAAACGGCAAAATGTATATACGGCTTAGCTTAAACGGGTCATCGGCACTGCGGATTGAAATGCTGTGCAGTTTACAACACAATAGCACAAAATACAAGGGGTAACTGAGTAGGGGCTATTGCAAATCCGTCTGTACGTCCTGATTATTCATATAGGATGTGTTAATAATGTCACGAGTAAAATGACAGGTAGACAAATTATACGAATGAGACGGGGATAAATATTAGCCGAGACGAAGACCCAAAACATCTCGTCTGCCGAATGAGTGTTGCCAAAGGCGATGGCCGTGTCGCATGTGTGCAGTTTGGATTCCAAACCGATTGGTCAAAACCTACCAACATCACTAGCGAACTACTTGAATGACACAAGAACAAGCATAGAAACACAAAAAATACCAGTTTGACGTTATGCAGAAGTGTACAGCTGCAAGGTGAACCAAATTTCGCGAAAGCTCAGGTGGTGGAGTATGCATCTGACATAAGTTCGTGGGTCCAGGTCCTACTCTCGCGCGTTTGCCTTTCAGTTTGAATTGCGTGTGTTCGATTATGTGTTGTCAAGATGCAGCATTATCACTTAAGTGGCAAATCCTCAAACCATAAATAAAGCGCTATGTATGGCGAAGGACGTTTTGTCATATGAAGCAACTAATACAAACTAGCAGCTCAAAGAAAATGAGGTGCTGCCAGACCTCAGTGATATAGATAGATTCGAGGGCAAAATGACACCAATACATGTGCAGAGGTTTGAAGAAAAGGGCCATCAATGACGTACCTGATAAAAACAAGTGACTGGTAATACTCATGGTCTGTGAGCCCCAGGTCTTCTAAGGTGAGTTTGCGACCAAGAATCCGCTTATAAAATGTCAGAGTGAGTCCTCCGTCAATGCAACGGCCGTGGAAAAGGGCCTTATTGACAAGGAATGGGGAGAAAGCGTAGGGATGGGAGAATAATACATCGGGACGAATATCGAGTAATAATGATGGCGTGAAAGTCGTGGGAAAAAAGAGTGAACAAATCAAACATCATGGCAGAGGGTGACAAGCTGACTACGAAAAAAAATGTGACCCTATCTTTGATCCGAACTCCAATTCGTGCATCGAACTCTGATGTCCTTGGAGCCAAACTCATAATAAACAAAGGATGGTAGTTTACATGCAAGAAACTAGTCATAAGGCAGCAGAGAACTCTTCGAGCGCGACTATGTGAATAACTTCCTTCATGAAAGTATTCCACGATACCTCGAATATCGCACCAAATGAAACATGGAGCACATTCATTTGAAGAATATCACAAACGATAGATTCAACTGAGACTGAATTAAGTTTCCCCTGTAAATTACATTGGTATGGAAATTTGTATTTGGCGGAGAGGTTGTAGCGTTGCGTTAACATGTAAGAAAGTGGCTCCAATGGTGATCAGTTTTACAAATAACTGAACTGGAGGGGTTGGGAGAAGAGCTTCAAAGGGCATCGCATGTAAATCTACGATTAGAAATTTGGGCTGGAGACGAAGTGTGAACGAAATGTCGGTGACGGTAAACAGATAAACCGCCAATAACTTCAAAACAACTGGGGATCCGGGCGTTATGTATTGCTATAACCCAAGCGCAATCAGAAATTGAGACCTTTTAATCGGCGACCGGATTCCAAAGTTTTTATCACAAGTTTCTTTTTTTCTAACGTAAAGTCGACGCACACAGAACAAGAAGAAAGGCTATTCAAATTTCCTTCGCATATTAGACGCACATTGCAGGCAATTATCTGCGAGGACGAAGCAGTGCAAACCCACCCATTGACCAGAGTTAACAACTGGTCACCATATCCAAGTTATGCGATCCGGTCAGTGAGCGCGTAGTCCTGTGGACACTAATCCGAAATTGTCCATGACAGAGTCATATATTCGATCCATCCCCATTTACCTAAGGGGTTGAAACACGGACAAAAGGCTTCGTGTAACTGAACTGCAGTTTCAATCACCGGAAAACGAGAATGTGGAACGTACAACCAAGCCATGAAAACGAAGGCATGTTCAGTGTGTTCGGAAATTTCCGCCAACGTCATTAACCACTGGTGGTTTGAGTCCCGGGGTCCCCATCCGGGGAGGCGGCAGTTGCCACCCAACTAAGTTTACTGGTTAGTGTTTTCGTAATTCGTTGCCAGATCATATACTGCCCAACTCTCGGTCGTTTTCACTCAGCACACAGGACTCGGCGAAAGGAGCTCTGCGAGGCAGACGGTCTTTTGGCATGCGGTGTACATGTCCCGACCAGCGCTAACTATGAAGCGTGAGTAATTCATCTATCGTGGGAGAATTCCTTCTTCCTAAGACCATCAGGCGTACCGAAGCACTACTAATCCTTTATTTCCACCAGACCTGACTAAGGCTTCGCAGACACCGATGATCAAATACCGACATCTTCCGTATGTCCTCTGCGCCAGGGACCACGTCTCTGATCCATAAAGTAGTATGGATCGCACCATCGCAGTGTAAGCTCTTCCCTTGACAGACAAACTGAAGTCACTTCGGTGCCATAGGTGTGGGAAGTTGGCAAAAGCTGCCCTGGCCTTCCAGATTTCAGAAGTAACGGTGCAGCAGAGTATTTAGATTATTTGAAATCGTCTGCATTTGGAAAGGATCTGAACTAAGGACAGCAATATCGTCTGCATACTCACTTATGCAAGGGAACGTCCCGGGAGCATTTCAACTCTAGAGATTTCAGAGGCAGCCAGAAGAATATCAAGCAGCATACCAATAACAAAGTTGAAGAGGAAGGGCGAGAGGATAGCCTTGTTTTACACCACTGGACGTGGGGAACTCAGGTTAGAGCTTCCCGTATACTCGTACGTGCCCACAGGAGTTCGTATACAATAAGAGGAATTTGGAAGGGACATCATTGGTCGCCAAACACTGCCGAAGTTGCTGACGACCGACCGAATCAAAAGCAGTTTTCAAGTCCACAGAAACGAGTAACGTGGGACATCTGAAGGAGTAGCGCGGTTCACGAATTTGCCTCAAGGTAATGCGTCCTCGACCAGGGTGAAACCCAGCCTGATTCCCACGAATCGGCCTCTCCCGATAATCCGTCAACCTGCGCAAAATACTACCAGAGAGCACCTTAAACTTAAAAATTCCAGGTTGATACTACGATGGTTTTCGCATGACGTTCTTGCTCCCTTTTTAAAAACCGGGATGACGGTCGAGGAACTCCATTCGGCTGGTATCAGGAAGGGCAGCTTCCTGAAAGCAACCACTGAATGCCCGGAATCTACGGAGACTCTCAGCTCCGCAAGGTGTTGACCGGACAGACAACGCCCCCTCAATATGCAGCGCGTCACAGTCTTGTATCAAACCCAGACAGCGCGAGTCAGCGTTGATCAAGGTCAGACAACGCCCCGCGATATGCAGCACGTCGCAGCCAGACCGTGTGCGTCAGCATTGGACCAAGTTCAGACAGTGTCCTTCCAATAAAAAGCTTGAGGCCGTTGTACTTTTCGCACTCGCACGCACTCGCGCTCTCGCAACCACTTTGTTGGAATATAGCTATTGTGTTCCCTTCCGTGAGCCTGTTTCTCTCCGACACTAGGCACTGGAGCGGGTCAGCAGCAGGTACCACAGGCCGGCGAATCAGCAGAAATAACAGCTGGCATTCTGTTTTTGTTCCAAATCTTGTGCAGTTTGGTGGTCGAAGTTGATGAACGGAGCTTCGCTTAGCAAAGCGCTAAGCAGGTCCGCACAATGGCGTGATCAGAGTCAAGTTGTGTACCCCAGAAGGAACGACAATGAGGCTCACCATCGGTAACTAATAGCCATATGAGTCCACGACTATTTTGTGGCAGGTAGCCTCCAAGTAACGTGGTGCGAGCGTTTGTGTTGGAAGTTCGTACTGACCAGGAACAGACGACGATCTGCACACAACTGAAGAAGCCGCTCTCCATTAACCGTACGGTCAGCATCCAATCCAAAACTACCACCTAACTGTGCTTCTTTCCGACTTAGTCGTCTACCTCGGGTATTCATACCACTCGCCAGGATTACTATATCCGTCCTTCTTGCCGACTGAATCAGTTGTGACAGATCTTGATAAAACCCGTCCTTCTCAGTCTCAGAACAGCTGGAGTGTATGCTGATACGACAAACTAACACCGTTTACTACACCGACCTACGTTAAGCCAGACACTCACCATGCCGATGAACCGACCGACGAACCGGAAATAGCTAAGATGGTTTGGATTGACATGTGATCCCGGATTGATTTGCAAACCATAGTTTTTACCGGTATATTCAAATAGTCCAAACATGGGGTTGAAAATTTCGCGCGAAAGACGATAGAACCATTCTCTATAACAGAAAACGAGATGAAGGTGATAAACCAGAGGTCACGTTTCATTTGAAGATGATAATATTCAGAGTTAGAAGCAGAATAAAAACTACTTTTGTTAGTGCGAAGAGATCTGATAATTTTCAATAGTGATTTCATGCTATACATGAAGCTAGTCTATGATGAAAAGCCGAGAAGCGCCGCAGAGCTGTTTCATTCTCAACAGAAGTCATAATTAGTGAGCATTTTACGAAGTACCATGGTGTTTCGAACCTGCAATCTTCCTACCAGTGGACACATCGGTGGAAATCTAGTTGTGATGGGGTAATCGAAACGTTTTTAACTCGTTCGGATGAAATGCGTGGCAGTTGGCTCCGCACATAAAATTTTGAAGGAATGGAAGTAAGCTGGTCCCCGCTAAAACCACTGTTCAGCCAAACGTACCTTGCGAAGCTAGTCATGATGAAAAGCCGAGAAGCGCCGCAGAGCTGTTTCATTCTCAACAGAAGTCATAATTAGTGAGCATTTTACGAAGTACCATGGTGTTTCGAACCTGCAATCTTCCTACCAGTGGACACATCGGTGGAAATCTAGTTGTGATGGGGTAATCGAAACGTTTTTAACTCGTTCGGATGAAATGCGTGGCAGTTGGCTCCGCACATAAAATTTTGAAGGAATGGAAGTAAGCTGGTCCCCGCTAAAACCACTGTTCAGCCAAACGTACCTTGCCACACCTCCGTAGTCAAGGCCTTCCTCGTGAAGGAATGTGATGGAAAGACGCCTACGTAAGTTTGTAGCAGTCATCTGAGAAACCTGAAACAATGAGGACAGATACCGAAAGAAAGCGAACAGGAGACAGGTTTGTTTGTAAGAAAGTAATAATGAACGAAGTATGTCTTGGAGGTAGTAAAAAATTATGAAAATAACTACATCCTGGTGAGGCTCTCACAAGATCTTAATCAATACCCAGCAAATAAAATCTGACCGGTAACATGGAACTTCTGGTTGGTGACCCATTGCAGGTTGAGTGGTATGCACCAAAGTGAGGACATAAGGAGAACGAAACGCTAGTTTTGAAGAAGTTATCATTCATCAAAATGAAATAAACGTGTACCATACGACCGCCGCTTGACGACGAATGAGGTAATGAACGCTTGTTTGCCCGTTATTTGAAATTCCGCAGATGTCCGTGCTGCCAGCGCTCATTACACGTCAGAGATTACGAGACAGCGGGACGTTTAACGGTATTTTATTCGGATAGTAAGTACTCAGCAACATATCTGATGACACTGTGCCTTCGAAAAACTGGAATTCTAAACTGTGTCCCGACCTAAAGCTGTCACCTTCCAGCCGTGATTGGGCTTCTGTGCTGCAAGCATTTCAAGGGCTATACTGGTTCCAAATCAGTTATCCAACTTTGAAACGTGCCAGGAAGGCCAGGTAGCAGCTTGCCGATGAAAAGCGAGTCACCGTACTGCAAGAAATCGCGGCTTAAGGGTTATGTTTCCCTCTGTGATAGGAATTTGACAGTAGTAAGGCACCTGCTTTAGGTGACCAGCATTTCCATATTTATGGAAGTAATAATGCTGCGTTCCTCCGAGAAGGACGGAAAGAAAAGGTTGACCTTATAAACCGCACAGTCTGATCACCCAACGGTTGATCATGACGACCGGCGCATCATTCAATACGACTGGAATACTTTTAAAACCAAATAGTCTGGTGGTGCTCAGATGGTACCTGCTAAGCGCAGCCGCATCAGGAGTCAGAGAATTGTGCCTTACTCTCTGCGCTCTCGGACCGGGCAAGCCACCTGCAGCCAAGTGGGTCTGACTAGTGAGTCAGAAGCTTCAGGAAAGGTCTCCAAATGAAAATCCTACAAACAATACCCCGCGGTTCAGGATTACAGTCACATTTACGGAGAAGAGGTTGCCAAACAGCCGGATACTAAAGCAGTGGGTTCCAAGAAAGTAGCGGTGCTCTTTGTACACCCATGGCACGCTAGGTTAATGTCATCGAGAGCATCATGGAAATTTGCGTACGGCGTTACCTTTGGTAGAATACTGATCAATAATTTGCCTAAGCCATCAAGCAGACTAATGGCTAGGTAAATACAAAGGAACGCTATTTTATATATAAATAAGGCAGAGCAGATCGAGAAATTTTCAGGTTAGTCATTCGCTCGTGTTTTTTTGTTTCTGGAGTTACATTGATTAAACTGTTGTGTTCTGTGCCGTCAATGCGCTTACTGAATTAACATTTACTAACCACAAGGACTTCCCAACGCTTACCTGCCCTCACCAGTATCTGGATAAGCACAGACTGACCAGGCTATTCCACTGTGTTGTTTTCACAGGCGGTCATTCTGTTGCACTTCAATAAAAAATTGCCAATTCATCTATAGGCTTAAAAATGTGGGCGTTGTGGAATAAACTCATCCTATAGATGGGATACATAGGAAAGTTTCTGTTCTGAGAAATGCATTTGTGCGCTTCGGTAGATAGTGTTCTAAATGTACGGGGATCAAATCTATCCAGAAAAGTTAAGTACCGTCATGCCCTATGAGCCATGGAAGCTGCTCTTATCGGCGGTGAAAGTAAAAGGAGCGTATGATGAAGGCACAACCAAGAGGAAGGCAAAACAGTTACACTTTGGTAGGTAAAATTACGCAATCAGAGAGCGTTAGTTGGGTGGAGAACCGATGGACTCGCTCTACCAAGTCAAGGGGTAATTTAATGGGTGAAGAGCACAGATTTGTTAAGTAGATCGGATTTCATCTATGCAAACTAATTGATTTTGCCACCTTTCAGAACATTCTATCATCATGCGAGTGGCCTTTAAGGATGAATCCTCTTAGATACAACGGCGAACGGTATCTGAACCACTAAATGTTCGTACACAAGAGGTACAGTGCAACCGATCTATGTGACCTCGGTAGGGTTAGTAAAGTCTAATGTAACTGTTCCGAACTAAGGATCATTTCTCAACAAAAGATATATCTGCGTATTTGTTAGCTAGCTGTTGGTTGTAACTCGCTGGTGGGTGCCCAGACTGACAGCAAAGAAACATGAGACCTAGATCCACCTGCTGAGAGAAGGCAAGTAAATTGGGAGGTAGTTCGGAAGGACGAACAGCCGGTGTTGTGTGATTGACACGGTCATATCCGAGTGGATCATCGAAATTGAAGTAGTTGAACAGTGGGAAAAACGCAAGCCAAAGTAAAAAAAAGACTTTCGTGCGACGCAAATACACAGGTATCAACCCAGGATGTGAAAAGCCTTGTGTCATGGAAGTTCCGTTGTGATGCCAGCGTTAGATATTCAAGAGATCCCGTCAGTTCTATTACAGTGCTGTCGTTGTAAAGTAACAAGATATGGCCTTCGTGGGCGGATGACCATAAGACATGGGTTAGAACCAAGGAATTCACAACAGACTAATTTGGGAACGAGTAAGTGATGAGTTACGGACCGAGCTGGTCGTCGGATGGATAAAAACATGCTACGATCGCTACATCACATGCTACACAAGCCAAGTTATCGTCTGCCGAGAAGAGCGCTGTTTCCGACATCAGCATAAATGCTGATTGAATGGACTGTAAGCGATACATGACTGTCCCTACGATGCAACCCGTTGCGATATGGGATGCCACCCTGAGGGGCCTGTATGCGGTCGTACAAACAGATCGGACGATGTCGTCTGCAGTAAAACATACATCGCCCAAGACAGTACTGCCATTTCAATGCAAGCTCTTGCACATCTTGCATAGTAGATATGGAGCTAATCAAGAATAGCGATTGAATCATTATGACACAGAATAGGAAGTAAGGAAAAACAAACAGGATGACCTCTTCAAATGAGTAGGTGCACAACTGAACAACACGTTGCACACAAAACACTTACAAGTTGAAATGAATCCTCCAACAAATTGTCTCGGGAAACTAGGATCTTTGTCTGACCGCCGATCATTGCGTGCGCACAGCATGCGCGAAAGTAGTCCAACTTGGCACGGAAATTGCGTTCGTACTGTAACGGAACGCCCAGACTTCCGAGGGACCTGTGAACAAACGTAAGAGAACAGGATGGTGAAAGTGACTATTGGCAGTGTGGTGTTTAAAAGACGCAGAAGATATGAAGCTACAAGATAACGTGCTGTTTACAGAAAACGAGGGACGGAACTAAAGTGGTCACCGAGGATATCACCAAAAGTAGAACAAACTTGATACCTCTTCCGTTTATAGATGGACATTGCTCCGAATACAGGTAGAGACTAACTTCTTGGTAGTGTGAGGAGATTTGGGATTTTTGTGGAGATTTCGTCCTGTAAGTGAAGCCAATCTGTGCTGAAAAGCCGAGAAGCACTGTACAGCTGTTTCATCCTTATTGGGAATCATCAGCAGTGTGCATCTCACGAAACTCCGGAGAGTCTCGAACCCAGGACCTCCTGGCTAGCAGTTTAAACACCTAACCGTTCGGCCACGAGCGGCTGATCAGCAGTGTGATTAACTCGCACTTAGACAGGATATAGCGCCGCTCATCCTTCAATCACGGGATCCACATCACGCGGTAACACGTGTTGACTGGCTCCTCGAGCAACGACTCCTCAGATAGAAGTTTCACTCATCGGGTGAAGTTTATTCTTCCACTGAACTACCTATATATTGTGGGTAGTGTGAGGAAATTTGGGATATTTTGTGTGGGATTTCGTCCTGTAAGTAAAGCCAAAGAAAGGTGAACCATTCGTTAACAACACACATGCGACATTCAATATTGGTATTCACATGAAAAAAGCCTGGCATATTCTTAAAGGGATTTGAATGGACATGCAGTGGTTTCTCCACTCGGCTGTTTCATTGATAGTATTCTGTCTGACTTTGTCACGTCAGATAACTTGCACTGTCATATTATGGGAGCTGGGATGCACTAGATTATAAAGTTCAATCCATCGATCCAACCTTTTAGCCATGCTACCTAAATGCACCTAAGCATCTAAGGTCAAAGCACAGCTGGATACCCAAAGCAATGTGCAACCACGTGCAGTCTTAAGCGTAAAGTCCAAGTAATTGATTGAGTATGAGAGTATTAGGGTCGTCCGACGGTCTGTCATAGGTGGTAAGTCGATAGCTGAGCACGTTTAAGTGAAAAAGTGAAAACGACAAAAAGGAGGCATAGTTTTTTTAGAATGCAACATGTAAGCGCCCAATTCCATCGATTCGTTTTACCAGCAGAGCTAGGCCAGCTAATCGAATATCTGAGTTCAGCTCGTTTCAGTAAATGTAGTCTTGACAACAACCAAAGGTGAACACTTTTGACGGCATACGTTACGCGCCTCGCTATGACGCAACCCCACAAGAAAAGACGAGCGAGATCGGGTGCGTGGCAGTTCCATTGAGATAATCGACTACCGCGCAAAATGGATATGTTTTTGTGAGCCTCGGTGTGTGCGTGGTAAAGTCATAGATTGGTGCGACAAGATAATACGTCTTCGATGAAATGGAAAGCTAAAATAATCGACCGGAATTCCAACAAAATTCCCCCTAAAGATCTCTGAATTTCCGTTCAGTTCACTTTCAGACGCTAGTTAATGAGACTCAAAAGTGGAATTTAGACTCATTTATCGGTTTAAGACATAACGTCTGAGTTTAACTTGGGTGGCGAAACGGCGTCCAGAGCGGTAATAAGTAGCCTGAGATAAGCGCACTTTGGGAGTTCATATAAGATTTTATTCACTTATTATCCTGGATGAGTGTGCGTGTTCTGCAGTATCCAGCCTAGCCGACAGACGATGGACTGGTAACCATGTGTTTTCATTCTGCTCACTAAAACAGGTGCTTTTTTTTAATAATATACGCTGTATATGCGTGTGATGGTTTTTTTTTTTCGGGGGGGAAGCACTGGACTCGAGTTTCGCTCTTGTTAGAGCTCATCAGCAGTGCATATCCAATGGCCGTGCCGGGGTTTGAACTCCGGACACCTGACATGCGAGGCGAACGTGTTACCACCATTCCACCAGCGCACGTTGGACGCATCTGAATTCTCACGTCTGAACGGGTGAACGTGTTCTCACTTGAGCTTCCCCCCCTTTGGTGTGGATTCACATGAATAATTGCGCCAGGACAGGAGGACGACTGTTCAAAACGAGAGTGATGTGAGACTGAACAATACGCTGTATAGTCAAGAGCGCCTTTCACCACCATCCGAGTGGCGGCATGAAAAAGGGACCTATGAGGAATAAGTTAAGCGGTACTGTTCCAGACTAGTTTATATCCATCTTGTGGCACGCAAACCGAGTTGCTCAAGAGATTGGAGCAGTATTTTACTGGTCGATCGGCTACCAGCATCAAAACCAGGTTACGGGTGCTTAACTGGCAAGCACAACAGGACGAATCATCTGGGGAACCTGAGCAAACTATCGGTCAGACGACGGCCTACTCATCAGAAGCCGATGACTACAGCGTCTGGTTTAAACAAACCGTGGATTGCACCGTGTCACTCTTGGAATCCCATGCTGACCGTTCGCTCGCTAGTGTTGACCTTCTGGCATTTGCCCGAGGGTTGCAGTCTGGCATCATGACACCGGAGCAAGTCCTGTCGCTTCTGGACCTCCACGCCTCCAGGACATTTCCACACACCTGGAAAACTGTTTCCCGACGTCGCCGCCAGTTAGCCCATCGGATCCCGGTCAGCCGAAAGCAGATCCGCCGAGCCAACTACGCCGCCATCCAGACTCTATACCACCAAAGACGGAAAGATGCAGCGTCTGCTGTACTCGATGGGTCATGGAAGGATTTATACAAAGGAAACTGCGGCCTACCTATGGACGCCGAACAGTATTGGAAACAAGTGCTCTCAGCTCCAAAACACGCGGATAGCCGACCAAGTCGCATGGTAGTACCATCCGACTGGAGCTTGATCGAGCCAATTACAGGAGAGGAAGTTGGCCGTACGATCCGTTTAATGGGCAATTCGTCCCCAGGCCTGGACAAGCTCACACCCAGGACGCTCCGCCGGTTCAATGCTAATGTGCTCGCTGGGTATTTCAACTTATTTTTGTTATCTGGGGGTTGTCCCCCACATCTGTGTAGAGCCCGTATTACGCTAGTTCCGAAGGTCCCACATCCGACTTCACCTGATCAACTGAGACCGATCTCCGTGTCATCCATTCTTGTCCGTTGCTTCCATAAGGTGCTTGCTGATCGCTGGAGTCGTAGATTGCAACTGCCCTCTCTTCAGTTTGCATTTCTGCATCGAGACGGCTGTTTGGAAGCCACATCGCTGTTGCATGCCCTGCTTCGTCACTCTTCAGCGACTGCTTCTAACCTCAGCTTGGCGTTTGTCGATATCTCGAAAGCGTTCGATTCGGTTTCGCATGACACAATCGTCAGATCTGCCAAGGCGTTTGGAGCTCCGTCACCTCTAGTTCGATACATCGCACAGTCCTATGAGAATGCTGTAGCAGTTTTCCCCAGTTCCGAGGTTCACTGCCACAGAGGTGTGAGGCAAGGAGATCCACTCTCCCCATTATTATTCATTATGGCAATGGATGAGGTTCTTGGATTGTCGATGCCGCAACTGGGATACCAGTTCCATGACACCTTAGTAGATGGTTTTGCTTTCGCTGACGACTGGGTCGTGTGTGCAGAAAGTCAGGCACGCCTTAAAGAGAAGCTTGAAGCTGCTGCGGTCGAGTTGGGAAGAGCTGGCATGAAAATAAACGCCCGAAAGACTAAAGTGATGGTTATTTGTGGGGACAGGAAACATCGGGCAACAGCAGTCTCAGTCGAACCATTTCGCTTTGCCGAGGAACTAATCACTCCTCTGGGTCCGACAGACACTGTAACATATTTGGGCATTCCCTTCACCTCCAAGGGGAAAGGGGTCTTCAACCACCGACAGCACCTGCTCAAACTGCTCGAAGAAGTGACGCGTGCCCCGTTGAAGCCGCATCAAAGAATGGATATCACGAGGAACTACCTGATACCAAGGCTGACATATTCGCTCGTGCTCGGCCAAGTCCACAGGAACACGCTAAAAAGATTGGACAACTACATCAGGCAATATATTCGTGGCTGGCTACGTCTACCGAAGGACACCCCAATCAGCTACATCCACGCCGGTAAACAACATGGGGGACTTGGTATCCCAAGTCTGAGTGCAACAATCCCGATGCAGCGGAAAACGCGTATGGAAAAGCTCCTCTCTACTCAGTGCCGAGTACTACGCAATGTGGTCAACGATTCCGCATTCGGCAAAATTGTTCGGGATCTCAGCCTTCCGATCCGAGTCCATGGAGCATGCGTAAACACCAAGGAGGAGCTGGTGGCTGCTTGGGGTGAAAGTCTGCACAACAGCGCTGACGGTCGCGGTTTACGAGAGTTGGTCACTTCGCCTCTCTCGAATCGATGGCTCGTATTCCCAGAACGAGTGTTTCCACGGATATTTATCCGCGGTATCCAGCTCCGATGCAACCTGCTTAGGACGAGAGTTAGAAGCGCTCGGCATGGTCATGGTGGCCAGACGATCTTATGTCGTGGAAACTGTGGCCAACCGGAGAGTTTGGTGCATATTTTGCAATCCTGCTGGATCACGCATGATGCCAGATGTGCTCGTCATAATCGGGTTTCAAGGGAACTTGCAAAACGTCTCTGTCGACTGGGGTACACCGTCTTCGAGGAGTTGAGAGCCCCAACTTCTACGTCGTTCATCAAACCTGACCTAATCGCTGTTCGAGATCGCCGTGCAACTGTAATAGACGTCAGCATAGTCTCGGATTGGCGTGGAGAGACAGTGTGGAATGAGAAGAAGCAGAAGTATGGTGCTGATGAACATTCCCTCGCCATAATCTCAGCCCTACATGCCATCGGTTGTGATATCGACTTTTTGGTTCACCAACCGATGACCATCTCTTATCGAGGGATCTGCTTTCCTCAATCCGCTAAGGCTATTATTGGACTGGGACTTCCTGAGGTCGCAGTCAGTGACTTGTGTTTGATTGCCATTGTGGGCTCCCTGCGTACTTATGACACTTTTATGCGTGACACATGGCGTTGAAGGTAC